TGGGGAGAGGGGTGGGAAGGAGGGAGAAGCAAGTGGGTGAGTGGGAGAGGGAGAGGGGGAAGGAGGGAGAGGTGGGGAGGGGGAGGGTGAAAGAGGGAGGGGAGGGATCAGGTGAAGGAGTGAGATGTCGGTGGGGGAGGGGGGGGAGTGTATGTGTGAGTCTGGCAATGTGTGTGTGTGTGTGTGTGTGTGTGTGTGTGTTGTGTGTGTATGTTGTGTACTCACCTAATTGTACTCACCTAATTGTGGTTGCAGGGGTCGAGACTCAGCTCCTGGCCCCGCCTCTTCACTGATCGCTACTAGGTCCTCTCTCTCTCTGCTTCCTGAGCTGTATCATACCTCTTCTTAAAACTATGTATGGTTCCTGCCTCCACTACTTCACTTGCTAGGCTATTCCACTTCCTGACGACTCTATGACTGAAGAAATACTTCCTAACGTCCCTATGACTCGTCTGAGTCTTCAGCTTCCAATTGTGACCCCTTGTTTCTGTGTCCCCTCTCTGGAACATCCTATCTCTGTCCACCTTGTCTATTCCACACAGTATCTTGTATGTCGTTATCATGTCTCCCCTGACTCTTCTGTCCTCCAGTGTCGTCAGTCCGATTTCCCTCAACCTTTCCTCGTACGACATTCTCCTGAGCTCTGGAACTAGCCTTGTTGCAAACCTTTGTGGGTGTGGATGGGTGTGAGTTGGACCTGACTAGCTTGTGCTGCTGGGTCTGGTACAGTGCTCCATCCTTGAGTGGGGATGACCAGACTGGGTGGGTCATTGGGATAATCCAGGGGGTGGGTCATTGGTCTAATCCGGAGGGGACACCACATGGACCTGCTCCGCATGGGTCAGTAGGCCTGTTGCAGTGTTCCTTCTTTCTTATGTTCTTATGTTCTTATCTTCTCTAACTTCTTGACGTGCTTGACTAGGTGTGGGTTCCAGACTGGTGCTGCATACTCCAGTATGGGCCTAACATGCACAGTGTACAGTGTCTTGAACGATTCCTTATTAAGGTATCGGAACGCTATTCTCAGGTTTGCCAGGCGCCCATATGCTGAAGCATATGCTGAATGCCTCCGGTGACGTGCTCGGTGTTATGGTCACCCCAAGATCTTTCTCCCTGAGTGAGGTCTGTAGTCTTTGTCCACCTAGCCTATACCCTGTCTGCAGTCTTCTTTTCCCTTCCCCAATCTTCATGACTTTTCATTTGGCAGGGTTGAATTCGAGAAGCCAGTTTCTGGACCACGTGTCCAGTCTGTCCAGGTCTCTTTGCAGTCCTGCCTCATCCTCATCCGATTTAATTCTTCTCATCAGCTTCACATCATCTGCGAATAGGGACACTTCAGAGTCTATTCCTTCCAGCATGTCGTTCGCATATATCAAAAATAGCACTGGTCCTAGAACTGACCCCTGTGGGACCCCGCTCGTCACAGGCGCCCACTGTGATACCTCTTCACGTACCATGACTCGTTGTTGCCTCTCTGTCAGGTATTCCCTGATCCATTGCAGTGCCCTCCTTGTTACATGCGCCTGATCCTCCATCTTCTGCACTAATCTCTTGTGAGGAACTGTGTCAAAGGCCTTCCTGCAGTCCAGGAAAATGCAATCAACCCACTCCTCTCTCTCGTGTCTTACTTCTGTTACCTTGTCAGAAAACTCCAGAAGGTTTGTAACACAGGATTTGCCTTCCATGAACCCATGCTGGTTTTCATTTATAATCTTGTTCCATTCCAGGTGTTCCACCACTCTCCTCCTGATAATCTTCTCCATGACTTTGCATACTACAGATGTCAGAGACAGGTCTGTAGTTTAGTGCCTCGTTTCTGTTTCCTTTCTTAAATATGGGGACTACATTTGCTGTCTTCCATTTCTCAGGTAGTTGCCCAGTTTCAAGGGATGTGTTGAAAATTGTGGTTAGGGGCATGCACAGCATCTCTGCTCCTTCTCTAAGGACCCACGGGGAGATGTCCGGTCCCATCACCTTTGAGGTATCAAGGTCACTTAGCAGCTTCTGCACCTCCTCCTCGGTTGTTTGTATGTCATCCAACACTTGTGTGTGTGTGTGTGTGTATGTGTGTGTGTGCATGTATGTGTGTGTGTACTCACCTATTTGTGATTGCAGGGGCGAGTCATAGCTCCTGGCGTGTGTGTGCGTGTGTGCATGTGTGTGCATGTGTGTGTGTGTGCGTGTGTGTGCGTGCGTGAATGTGTGTGCGTGTGTGCATGTATGTGTGTGTGTGTGTACTCACCTAGTTGTGGTTGCGGGGGTCGATTCACAGATCCTGGCGCCGCCTCTTGAACTGCACGCTACCCGGTCACTCTTCCCGCTCTGTGAGCTTTATCATATCTCTTCTTATGGATCCTGCCTCCACTACATCACTACCCAGGCTATTCCACTTTCTGACAACTCTGTGACTGAAGAAATACTTCCTAACATCTCTGTGATTCATCTGAGTCTTCAACTTCCAACTGTGAACCCTTGTTGCTGTGTCCCATCTCTGAACATCCTCTCTCTGTCCACCTTGTCTATACCTCTCAGTATTTTATATGTCGTCATCATATCCCCCCTATCTCTCCTGTCTTCCAGCGTCGTCAGGTCGATTTCCCTTAACCTCTCCTCATAGGACATACCCCTTGGCTCTGGGACTAGTCTTGTTGCAAACCTTTGTGCTTTCTCTAGTTTCCTTACATGCTTGGCTAGGTGACAGTTCCAAACTGGCGCTGCATATTTCAATATGGGCCTAACGTACACGGTGTACAGAGTCCTGAATGACTCTTTTTTTTAGATGTCGGAATGCTGTTTTGAGGTTTGCTAGGCGCCCATATGCAGCAGCAGTTTTTTGATTGATGTACACCTCAGGAGATGTGCCCGGTGTTATATTCACACCAAGATCCTTTTCCTTGAGTAAGGTTTGTAGGCTCTGGCCCCATAGACTGTACTTCGTCTGTGGTCTTCTTTTCCCTTCCCCAATCTTCATGACTTTGCACTTGATGAAGTTAAACTCCAGGAGCCAATTGCTGGACCAGGCTTGCAGTCTGTTCAGATCCCTCTGTATTTCTGCCTGGTCCTTGTCCGATTGAATTTTTCTCATCAACTTCACATAATCTGCGAACAGAGACACTTCGGAGTCTATTCCTTCCATCACTTCGTTCACAAATACCAGAAACAGCACCAGTCCTAGGACCAATCCCTGTGGCAACCCGCTCATTACAGGCTCCCACTCTGACACTTCGCCACGTACCATGACTCGCTGTTGACTTCCTGACAGGTATTCTCTGATCCATTGTAGTGCCTTCCCTGTTATCCCTACCTGGTCCTCCAGCTTCCGCACTAATCTCGTGTGGAACTGTGTCAAACGCTTTCTTACAGTACAAGAAAATGCAATCTACCCACCCCTCTCTCTCTTGTCTTACTGCCATCACTCTGTCATAGAACTCCAGTAGGTTTGTGACACAGGATTTCCCATCCCTGAAACGGTGCTGGCTGTCGTTGATAAGCTCGTTCCTTTCTAGGTGTTCCACCACTCTTCTCTTGATAATTTTCTCCATAACCTTGGATACTGTACACGTCAGTGACACCGGTCTGTAGTTTAATGCCATCTTCCAAACTTCTGCTAGTTGTCCTGTTTGGATAGATGTGTTGAAGATAGTTGTTAGTGGTTCACAAAGCACCTCTGCTCCCATGGAGAGATATCTGGCCCTATCACCTTTGAGGTATCTAGCTTGCTTAACAGCCTCTTCATTTCTTCGTTGGTTGTATGTCTTGTGTCCAATGCTTGATGGTGTACCCCACGTTTCTGCCTTTCTGGAGGCAGCTCTGGAAACACTGTGAACACTTTGAATCTCATCTTGAGCTTCTCACATACTTCACAGTCGTTTTTTGTGACCTCCCCTCCTTCCTTCTTCAGCCCGATTACCTGGTCCTTGACTGTTGTTTTCCTCCTGATGTGGCTGTACAACAGCTTTGGGTCGGATCTGGCTTTCACTGCTATGTCATTCTCGTATTGCCTTTGGGCCTCCTGTCGTACCTGTGCATATTCATTTCTGGCTCTACGACTGGTCTCCTTATTCTCCTGGGTCCTTTGCCTTCTATACTTTTTCCATTCCCTATCACACTTGGTTTTGGCCTCCCTGCACCTTTGGGTGAAACATGACCAATGTTTCCATTCATCTAGGGATAGAGCCCCGGTCTCTTAGTAGTGAGTTGAGGTCACTACCAGTCAAGCCACGAGTGTCAGCATAGTTGCTGATCCTCTGTATATGTATATGTTATCTGAATATCATAGTACCATCCATATGTTTTACATAGTTGACCCCTTGCTAGGCTCAGTGATGAGCATGTGTGATGTCACGTGATGCTGCATGTGAGCGTTGGGCTCCCGGCCTCTTTCTCACTCCACGCTTAGGTCTACAACAAGGCAACACGGCAGGTAGGGCTCCTCCTTCTCACACTCTGCTAATATAAGTGGTGCCAACCAACAAGTGTGTTTAACTCCAGCCATCATATCTCCATGAACCCTCACAACAAGTGGTGGCAGCGGTGGGTGCATAAATTTGATATTTACGCAGATGTACGGAGATTAGCTTCTCTCAGCCATGGATATTGTCCATCGACCGCATGGCGGCTTAGCCTAGGAGCCAGCTACCCCGAGCAAGCGTCCACCAGCCTGTATGCTTCTTGCTTCCTAGTCAGTCTTTGTGTCTTTGTGTTTTATCTGCTTATCTGCATTGCTTCCGAGGGGTTGACCCGGGTTTGCAAATTAAGCCAAGCTGCCAAGCCAGTCTGTGGGGAAGAGTCAAGCCCTCCTCCATCCAACCTGTCTTAAGTACCAGCTTTGCCTGCTAGCCAGCTTTCCACCCCTGCTGTGCTCATCGTTACAAGTTCTCAAGGCAGTCTGTGTGAAGGGTTAAGCCACCTATGCTGACACGAGCACACAAGGTGGATAACAGGTCTTACTTAGTCTGTAAATTCAATTGTGTAATAAAAAATTAACTCCCCTCCGGCAGGTGACAGAGGAAGTAGATGCTGTGTGGTCGACAACAGCCAGGGACGCTGGCGTGGATGTAGGCGTGGTAGGTCTGCACGCTACTTGTGCTCTTATGCCAGACACCAACCTCACACATCTCACCCACGCCCTTCCTTCAAACACCATGGTCAGTTAGTGCACTTGTCGTTTTACCCTTTGGGTCTGCCAGACCTACTGTTTAAACCATGTGTGGAGTTGACCTCAACTACTTTATATGTTCCACAACTTCATTGCACTCGCAATAAAAATTGCTGGTTAAATATTCAGTTAATGCCTTTCTGAAAATGAACTTTGAAAGTTTTAATGTGCTGTCTTACACATTTCTAGATCCATTGAGCGATTGGTATTTTATTTCTTTGAATTTTATCTTTCACTTTATTTTACTTTTCACAAACAATAAATAGTAGGTTTGTGTCATACTTACTCCACTACTATTTTTCAAAAATCTCTCTCTCTCTCTCTCTCTCTCTCTCTCTTCGTGTTGTCTCATCTTTTTATATTCACTTCTAGTTTGTTTTAATCTTCTCATAGGTTTGTGGGTGGTATTTTCCTTCTACCATCTACCTATCTATTTATTCTCTCATCCTCTGTAGACATTATTCTTTATCTTCTTACCTAGCCCTTTCATGTTGTACCTGTCACTTGCATTATTGCAGGTGTTGACAATGCTGCAAGCGGTAGGAAGTGAGCTGGTGGTGGTGGAGGTGGGGCAGCTCACGCCACTGAAGGAGCTGAAGGCACTTCACCTGCAGGGTTACGCAAGACGCAGCTCCAAGCAGGTGTCCGGTTACTTCCCGAACCGTGTGTCAGATATGGTGAAGCACAAAGAAGTGGTCAACATAGAAGAAGAGGAAGAACAGGATCTGCTTTTGGCAATATCCGAGGACGCGCTAATTCCACTGACTAATCTGCAGCTGCTGGACTTGCAGTATGTGCGTCTTGTGGCGGCTATGGAGGGAGGACGGCCTAGGCGACAGACCAAACCACTGTTAACTTCCACTCTTCTCGACATGCCCCTCAATCACTTCCTCTCCCTCACTGATCAGCTAGACCTTGACCTTCCTCCTGGGCTCCTGCCAGATACACCCTCCTCATCCCCAGCCGCTCAGCCCAACTCTGAGTTGGAGTTTGTATTGCTACATGACGATGAAGAAAACCTAGTGCCCTACGAAGTATTCAAGACCGAAGTGGAAGTTAGTTTAGCACCGTTCGTTGTGCAAACGCAGCTGAAATATCTCCGTGTGGCTCACGCTAAGTTGGACCGTATAGGCACTGAATTCTTGACGGGGCTTACTTCCCTACACACACTTACACTGGAATATAACCACATCAAGGTCCTCCCCACTGCCATGTTCACTCCTACCCCTAACCTCCGTCATCTCTCCATTGCCCACAATGACATACTCGCTCTCGAAGGAGATAATCTGGCTGGCCTCGAGAACTTGCTCACCCTCGACTTAGATCACAACAATTTAGATAGACTTGGCCCGGGCAGCTTTCCGAGCCTGCCTCACCTAGCCACCCTGCGGCTCCTCAATAACCCCCTCGCCCATATCTTCCCCTTCACCTTCGCCAACGTTAATGCTACCGAGAAGCTGCTTCTTGGCTCTCGTTATGTGTCGACAGAGATTCACATCGACACCTTCAGGCAGCTCGGGTCACTGACGAAGCTTCAACTGGAGAACACAACGTTGCTATCTCTGAGCCAGGCACTACTAGAGGGGATGCCACATTTGAAGGAACTCTCCATACACGGCCACGTACCATCCATTGACTACGACACCTTCACATTAACTCCTAATCTGGAATCCCTGAATTTAAGCCACTGTCACCTCAACAGACTCTCCCTCGACGCCTTCTTTGGCCTCAAGAGCCTCAGGTATCTAGACCTGAGCCACAATGGGCTAACTGAGCTCTCTCCTGGGACCTTCGACCACTTGTCCAGTCTCCGAGAGCTCTATCTACATCATAACGACCTGACAACGCTGCCCCTGGGCATTTTTTTGCCCCTTCCGGCCAAACTTATTCAGCTATATGAGAATCCCTGGCACTGTACCTGCGACCTCCTCCAACTGCGACCTACCCTCACTAATAAGGTATTCTATTGTTACCAACGCATTTCCGTGACTATGTATTGTTGCTACTGCCACGGTAAATTCGAACAGTATTCTGATTCACTCTTTGGTTTGATCTACTATTGTGATTCTTATGACTGAATATTATGTTTATAGGAAAACAAAATCCATTAGTCATACAGCGCCTGGGGAATGGAAAATAATCAAATTTGATCTAAGGAAGGTGAGGGTAGCTCCAGTTCTTTGCATCAAGAGCCCTTCACCAGCATCATGGTATTCCAGCTTCACTTTCAGGTTGTGGCTCTGATATGCATTAGAAATATTGCAACAATTGTCACTATTTTTGGCCCTGCTGCTAAGAATATAAAGGGAACGTGACCATTCTCACTACTACATAGTTTCTGATAATCCTTAACAAGTACTCCTTATTATTATTATTATAATCAAGGGGGAAGCGCTAAACCCGGAGGATTATACAGCGCCTGGGGGGGGATGTGGAAGGCATTCAGGCTTAATTCGGGGAACTGGAGCACAGATCCAATTCCCTAAATCAAGAGCCCCTCACCAACATCAAGGAACCTTCCTTGAGGGGCAAGTACTCCTTAGATGGCACATATTCTCAAGTTTCGCCCTTTTCTAATGCTCATCATAATAACTTTCAAGACTGGTTTACCATTATTTTATAATCCTAATCACAACTCTAATTTGGTCTGATGCCAGCAGCATTTTGTAAATTAAATTTCAGAATTCTTAAGCATGTTTCCTGTATATTGAAAAAGCGTCACCCATGACCATAGTCAATATTTACAATGTGTAGTGACACTATCCAACTTCTTCATTAAAGTTTCACTAGCCCCACTATGAGAGCCATCATTCGTGACTGCAATAAGCAGTAGTAAAGTTAAAAAATCGAATAAAATGGACTAATTTTAATGTGTTGCAGGTGTGGCAGATGAGGTTAAAATACAAATGTTAATGTGTTGCAGGTGCGTCAAACGGTGTCCACAACTTGCCGGTGGGAGGAAAAATCGGGCACAGTATGCACTGCTCAGAGACCTGTGCGCCTCAGATATGATTCCCGCGTAGCTCCCCTCTGCTCCACGCCCGTACAGTACCGAAACCATGGCGTCTTCTCTGTAATGACCCGCCAACTGAAGTGTCCCAAACATTTATGGGGACCGCGACTTGTACGACAACGGCAGCGCAACGCCATCCGTGCGCAGAATCGCAATGCTAATGTGCCCACAAGAAAGCCTGAAGTTCTTATGGTAGAGAAAAAAACCAGCTGGCTTCCTCTTACTGCTTTTTCCTCCCCACCTCATGATATAAAAGATTTACTGGAAATTGCAGAGGCCGAGATGCCTGAAGAAGCCTTTGCTCCACTCGAAGATGATTACGAGGCCGAAGAGGACATCGAAGAAAGTAAAAACAGAGAGGATGAAGATGGAGACGATGATGATGATGATGAGGAGGAAGACCAAGTGTCAGTAGTACAATTAACACGTGACTCTGAGCAGCTGCGGCACGACGAAGCTTGGAAGTCTCTCTCTCTTTCAGAGAACTCCACCACGAACTCACTCCTTGACGCTTACCGCCGCGAAAAATTAATAATGAAAGCCAAGTTTGAGGCCGACAGACAAAGGCATATGCGAGCTCGACAAGTCAGCAAGCAGCAACTGAAGAAAAAGTTAGCGGTAGAAAAACAAAGGATGAAGGACCAGGTGAAAGCTGAGAGGCTGCTGGAGCAGCAGAGGAAGGAGGCGGAGATGGCAGAGTTTCTAAAACAACAACAACTACATCAAATGATGGTGGTCCAACGGAACACATACTTGTAGTCACTTCCCACCATTATCGTCCTCTTTCCATCGTCTTCTTAACCTCCACACAGGCAGCAAGCACTGCTCATTTCATAGAGCTATCATCTCAGATTTTATTATGCAATATTGTTTCAGTAACTTTGTTGGGGTTGATTAACTGTAAAGTATTTTTATATATATAAAAGTAATTTGAAAATATTAAAATAAAATTTTTATAAAAACAGTAAGGAAACTTGTGTATTGGTTAAAATTTAAGCATTTTGTTACCCTGTATTTCGTAAACTTTAAAGTAACATGTACAAAATATAATTGTTAAATGTACTTTATGCCATACTGTACCTGGATTAAATGTACATCATGATACCAACGCCCACGAGGCTCATTAAATTATATATAATATATATATATATATATATATAATATTATATAATATATATATATATATATATATTTATATATATATATTATATATTGTCGTGCCAAATATGTATTATTATTATTATTATTATTATAATCAAGGGGAAGCGCTAAACCCGGAGGATTATACAGCGCCTGGGGGAGGGATGTGGAAGGCATTCAGGCTTAATTCGGGGAACTGGAGCACAGATCCAATTCCCTAAATCAAGAGCCCCTCACCAACATCAAAGAACCTTCCTTGAGGGGCCAAATATGTAAAACTGGTCAATTAGCAACAACTCATATAAAATTAAGTCCTTTCTAAAATTTTCTCTTATACGTTTAAAGATATATTTCTTTCATTAATGTTAATATAAAAAAAATTAATTTTGCACCAAAAGAATCTTAGAAAACTTACCTAACCTTATTATAACAAGAACAATTTATTTTAGCCTAACCCAATTAAATACATTTTAGATTTGTTTACAATAATTTAATACTAAACAAACACAGTGAAATATATTTTTCATTAGGTTAAGAATGATTTTTGGCGAAATTATTGCATACACAAATTTTCGCTTGTCCTATATGGCAAGATGAACGTTGCTATTTAAGCCAAGATCGCAAGTTCTGCCTATTCGGCACGACATATATTCAGGGAAACCGGTTATTTTCACATAGTCGGACTTGAGTCCTGGAAATGGGAAGTACAATGCCTGCACTTTAAAGGAGGGGTTTGGGATATTGGCAGTTTGGAGGGATATGTTGTGTATCTTTATATGTGTATGCTTCTAGACTGTTGTATTCTGAGCACCTCTGCAAAAACAGTGATAATGTGCGAGTGTGGTGAAAGTGTTGAATGATGATGAAAGTATTTTCTTTTGGGGGATTTTCTTTCTTTTTTGGGTCACCCTGCCTCGGTGGGAGACGGCCGACTTTTTGAATATATATATATATATATATATATATATATATATATATATATATATATATATATATATATATATATATATATATTATATATATATATAATATATATACTATGTGAACATTTATTGATAAACAATACATGTGGAGAAAAACACAAACATGAATACAATACAATGTTCTGTACATCCCATTCATATCTGGAGAGGGTTTCGGGGGTCAACGCCCCCGCGGCCCGGTCTGAGACCAGGCCTCGTGGTGGATCAGGGTCCGATCAACCAGGCTGTTACTGCTAGCTACACGCAAACTGACGTACAAACCACAGCCCGGTTGGTCAGGTACTGACTTCAGGTGCCTGTCCAGTGCCTTCTTGAAGACAGCCAGGGGTGTATTGGTAATCCCCCTTATGTATACTTGGACATATAGTACGTTACAAGTGAGGGTTTCCTCTGATGACTATCCAAGTGGTGTTGAGGAGCCTCAGTCTTCTTGGTAATGTCAGTCATGATGAAGCGCTAAACCAGTAGAGCTCGTACAGCCCCACGATGACTTGGGTGTAAATCAGAAGTAGATTTTGTAAAAATTTCACTGTAAAGAGTATTGTTGATGGAGCAAATACCCACAACACACACTTGTCGCTTCTCCACTCTTAACTGAATGTTTGATTTTCCTTCTGGCCACCAAAGCTGCTGAAATTAACTCTTATATACTGTGAGAAATTAGGTGGATGAATTTTTACAAGTACAATCTTGAATTAATCCTTCACCCACATAACTGGGGAGAACTCCGGCATATCTAAACCAGATATAGATATTGATGTATCTTGGAAACGTGGGACATCAGTGACGATGGGTCACAACACTGTCTCTCCTCCAATGCCCACCTTCTCAGTCCGTCCCTCAACTCACACTTCGGGATCTTAATTTAAGAACATGTGGTTCCTAAAAATTTAGAGAATTTAAGCCAGTTAACTGGCAAATTATGTGTGGACTGTATGAAAATTATTAAATGAAGCTATGTGACTTGATTTAAGTAATTTCTCGTGTATTAATAATCATACATTACAGTTGTTCAATTACATTGTAATATATCTTACTTAACCAGTTATGATCTGGGTGATATATCCTAACGCCTCCCTAACAGGAAGGCATACTAAATATTGGCCAATACTAGTTACCTTACCTGTTTTGTGGTATTATACCATGTATAAGGAGGCGAACTTAAATCATTTCAGTGCAAGCGGTTGTCAAGAGGTACAGTCACAACGTCCAATATTTTCTTCTTTACCAGCTTTATTATGGCGATAATTTGTAGATTTGGACACCTCCAGGTGCCTTCTATCTTCACTTATTCTGTAGTTCAATATATATACCGACATCATTTGTTTCGGCTAAGATGACACAAGATTATATTCTCAAACTCCCCCCATCAGCGATACACGTTACGCCATATTTTTGATGCCTCTAAAATGAGTATATACATATATTTAATTATATTCAGTGACATTTCCAGGTGTGTTGAACATTTTCCTTATCAGAATATTAATTTCCTCTAATCACATTTTATTTAATTAACATTATAATGGTGGAGCGCTAAACCCGTAGGATTATACAGCGCATGTGGGGGGGATGGAAGGTATTCAGGCTCAATTATTATCAAAAAGAAGCGCTAAGCCACAAGGGCTATACAGCGCTGCTCAGGCTCAATTCAGGGAACTGGAGCACAGATCCAATTCCCTAGATCAAGAGCTCCTTACCAGCGTCAAGGAACCTCCCTTGAGGGGGTGTATGCAATAATTTCACAAAAATCATTCTGAACCTAACGAAAAAAATATATTTCATTGTGTTTGTTTATTACTAAATTATTGTAAATTTATGTAAAATATATTTAGTTGGATTAGGTTAAATCAAATTGCGTTTGTTATAATAAGGTTAGATAAGTTTTTTTAAGGTTCTTTTGGTACATTATTATTATAATCAAGGGGGAAGCGCTAAACCCGGAGGATTATACAGCGCCTGGGGAGGGATGTGGAAGGCATTCAGGCTTAATTCGGGGAACTGGAGCACAGATCCAATTCCCTAAATCAAGAGCCCCTCACCAACATCAAGGAACCTTCCTTGAGGGGTCTTTTGGTACAAAATTATTAATTTTTTCATTAACATAAATGAAAAAAATATATCTTAACATACAAGAGAAAATTTTAGAATGGACTTAATGAGTTCTTGCTAAACTGGCCAGCTTTACCTATTCGGCACGACATATATATATACATACATAAATATATATACATATATGGTAGGTAGGTATAATGTCTGTCAGAACACAGGACATTATTATAATCAAGGGGGAAGCGCTAAACCCGTAGGATTATACAGCGCCTGTGAGGGGATGTGGAAGGTATTGAGGCTTAATTCAGGGAACTGGAGCACAGATCCAATTCCTTTGATAAGAGTCCCTCACCAGCATCAAGGAACCTTCCTTGAGGGGAGAACACAGGACAAATGTTTTCTGACGCAGGCTTTAGTTATATGATGACCCACAGGTTGAGCTTTTGTTTATCTGACCGATAGTCCAATTCCTTGGATCAGGAACCCCTCACTAGCATCACCTCCCTCGAGGTAATATGGATCATAGTGCTTAGGGAATGCGAGATCATCAGATTTCATTCAAAAGTTGAATTCAATTCCTTGAAATAACAGCCTTTCACCAGTTTCACAGTAATTCTACGATAAATGCCCTTCTTAAAATGATTATACTTGGGTAAGTATGCTGTTAAGTACGTGAGGAATGAGAGGCAATTAGGTTTGACCTAAGTGGAAATTAACTCCAATTCCCTGGATCAAGAGTCCTTTGCCTGCATCAAAGTACCTCCTTGAAGTAGCCCTTCCTAAAAGCTAGTGGAAACACAGTAAAAGGCATTTAAGCTTAAGTCAGTTACTACAGCATTCTGATGATTAATGTTATTACATTTATTAGAGGAGCGCTGAACTCCTTATCCAGCGCCTGGGAAATAGGAGGCATCCAGCTCGATCTAGGGTGGAGGAGGATAAGTCAAATTCCCTGGAATCATGAACCCCACGCTGGGATCAAGGTATCTCCTTTTATATTTACAGTATGGGGCAGCACTTAAACCCAGAAAGGGTTATAAAGCACCTAGGGAGGGGTAACAATTAGGTTTGATCTGAAGAGAATTGGGGGGGATGGGGGACCAAATCCTTGGATCAAGAGTACTCCAGCATTAGCGTACCTTTTTTGAGGTGAACATTCTAACGAAACCCTGAAAAATGTGTCTTGTCTGTTAGTTATATGTAAGAGGAAGAAGATACTGTAACTTATATTTACAGTATTATTATTATTATTATTATAATCAAGGGGGAAGCGCTAAACCCGGAGGATTATACAGCGCCTGGGGGGGGGGATGTGGAAGGCATTCAGGCTTAATTCGGGGAACTGGAGCACAGATCCAATTCCCTAAATCAAGAGCCCCTCACCAACATCAAGGAACCTTCCTTGAGGGGATTTACAGGTTTAGACGATTAATATAATCATAACTAAGCGCTAAATCCACAAGGATCACACAGCTCTGGCATATTTAGATGAAATCTTAATAAAACACAAGCGAAGGCATATGTTGCCACACTCAGGAAGTGTTTTGTATAACTTGGATACTTTTATGTTAACTTAATGTTTTTTAGTGAAAACTATTGGGATGCACGTTTTAACTAAAATGTAGTAACATATTGTAAGGTATCTGTCTAATGTCAATGATAAATTTTATACAATTCGAAGCCTGAACAAATATATTCCACCACACACTAACCCAATAACATTTTTTTTTTTTTAACTTATTGGCTGTCTCTCACAATGGGAGGGAAACTCAAAAACACATTCACTCAATTGCTGTCTTTCTAGAACTGTGCAGACATCACAATCAGATTACCCTCTAACTGCAACATCCCCTTTCTTTCAGAGTTCAGGTGCTGCCTTTACCACCTCCAAGACAAGTCTGGC